CAAAAATAAAAAATGTTATAGATGCCATTGCTCCAACTAAGGTAAAGGAAGTCACTGGGAAGAAAATATCTCCATGGAGAAAGGCCATGACCGTGAAAACAGAAAAAAGAGAGTGTCGAAAAGCTGAACGTAGGTAGCGAAAAACAAATCTCCAGGTTCACTTTGAAATCTATAAAGAGAGACTTGGCCTTTATAATTTGAAATTGAAAAACGCACGACAGTATTTCTTCTCTGACATCATTACCAAAAACAATGCACATGCCTTGTTTGCTACCGTCGACAGACTAACTAACCCCCCAGTGTCAGTAGCCTCTGAATTTCTATCCACCAGGGCGTGCAATGATTTTGCCTCCTTTTTCACTGACAAAATTCAGAAAATCAGACAAGCCGTCAGTGCCTCTGCATCAGGTACAGCAAATGTGTTGTCCCTATGTCCACCTAATATCAATTCAAACACCATGACACAATTCCATCAGATTAATGATAAAGACCTAGAGGACATTCTTCAACTTCTGAAATCCTCCTCCTGCTGCCTTGATATTATTCCAACAGGATTTTTCAAAGATGTTTTTTGTTGCATGGCCTGAGATGCTTCAGTAATGAACAATTACAGGCCCATATCAAACCTGCCATTTCTAGGTAAAATCATTGAAAAAGTTGTTTTTCAACAGTTGAGTAACTTCTTGCATTTAAATAACTGTTTTGATGTGTTCCAGTCAGGCTTTTGTCCAAACCACAGCACTGAGACTGCTCTTGTAAAGGTCTTCAATGACATCCACTTAAACACAGACAGTGGCAGAACTTCAGTGTTAGTATTATTAGATCTCAGTGCTGCGTTTGACACTGTTGACCACAACATATTACTAGACCGACTGGAAAACTGGGTGGGACTTTCGGAAACAGTTCTAAATGGGTTTGAATCCTATTTAAAGGACAGAAAAAACTTTGTTTCTATAGGTAAATACACATCTGAGTTGACAAATATGACATGTGGGGTACCTCAAGGCTCCATCTTGGGGCCTCTTCTCTTTAACATCTACATGCTACCACTGGCTCAGATAATGAAAAACAACAAAATAAGTTACCATAGCTATGCGGATGACACACAAATGTACGTAACAATTTCACCAGGTGACTATGCTCCAATTCAAACACTGAGTAAGTGCATTGAACAAATCAATGACTGGATGTGTCAGAACTTTCTCCAATTAAACAAAGATAAAACTGAGGTAATGGTTTTTGGAGCCAAGGGAGAACATATGAAAGTTAGCGCTGAGCTTCAGTCTGCAATGTTCAAAACCACAGATAAAGCCAGAAATCTAGGTGTAGTCATGGACTCTGACCTGAGTTTCAACAGTCACATTAAAACAGTTACTAAATCAGCCTACTATCACCTAAAGAATATATCTAGGATTAAAAGACTAATGTCATAGCAGGATTTGGAAAGACTTGTCCATGCTTTTATCTTCAGTAGACTCGACTACTGCAATGGTGTCTTCACAGGTCTCACTAAAAAATCTATTAGAACGCTGCAGCTAATTCAGAACGCTGCTGCTCGAGTCCTCACTAACACTAAGAAAGTGGATCACATCACTCCTGTTCTGAAGTCTTTACAGTGGCTCCCTGTGTGTCAAAGAATAGATTTCAAAATACTGCTGCTGGTTTATAAAGCTTTGAATGGTTTAGGCCCAAAATACATTTCTGACCTCCTGCTAAATTATGAACCATCCAGATCTCTCAGGTCAGCTTTCTGTCCCCAGAGTCAGAACTAAATATGGAAAAGCAGCGTTCAGTTATTATGCTCCAAATATCTGGAACAAACTCCCAGAAAACTGCAGGTCCGCTGCAACTCTGACTACTTTTAAATCCAGGCTGAAGACTTTTCTTTTTGTCGCTGCTTTTAATTAAACTATTCACATCTTAAACTGCACTGTAACTTTTATCCATGTATTTTTTCTTTTAATGTTTATTTTATGGGGATACTCACAAGTCCCCGGTTGGGTGCTTCGTTGTTGGAGTTTACCCCAGTGGACGAGAGGGTCGCCTCCCTACGCCTGCGGGTTATGGGGGGGGAAAACTCTGACTGTTGTGTGTGCTTATGCACCCAACAGCAGTTCAGAGTATACGGCCTTCTTGGAGACCCTGGAAAGAGTCCTGTATGGGGCTCCTGAAGGGGACTCTTTAATCTTGCTGGGAGACTTCAATGCACATGTGGGCAATGATGGAGACACTTGGAGGGGCGTGATTGAGGAACGGCCCCCCTGATCTGAACCGGAGTGGTGGTTTGTTACTGGACTTCTGTGCTAGTCATGGATTGGCCATAACAAACACCATGTTCGAACACAAGGATGCTCATAAGTGTACGTGGTACCAGAGCACCCGCAGAAGGTCCATGATCGATTTCGTTATCGTATCATCGGACCTGAGGCCGTATGTTTTGGACACTCGGGTAAAGAGAGGGGCGGAGTTGTCAACTGATCACCATCTGGTGGTGATTTGGGTCGAGTGGCGGGGGAAGCCTTTGGATGGACCTGGTAAGCCCAAACGTGTAGTTCGGGTGAACTGGGAACGTCTGGAGGAGGCCCAAGTTCAGGAGGCCTTCAACTTACACCTCCGGGGGAGCTTTTCGGGCATTCCTGTGGAGGTTGGGGACATTGAACCAGAGTGGTCGGTGTTCAAAGCCTCTATTGTCGAAGCCGCGGCGGGGAGCTGTGGTCTCAAGGTCCTAGGTGCCTCAAGGGGTGGTAACCCTCGAACCTCCTGGTGGACACCAGTGGTCAGGGAAGCCTTCCGACTGAAGAAGGAGGCCTTCAGGGATTTGTTATCCCGGGGGACTCCCGAGGCAGTTGCAAGGTACCGACAGGCCCGAAGGGCAGCAGCCTCATCCGTGGCCGAGGCAAAGCAGCGGGTTTGGGAGAAGTTCGGAGAAGACATGGAGAAGGACTTTCGGGTGGCACCAAAGTTGTTCTGGAAAACTGTCCGACACCTCAGGAGGGGGAAGCAGGGAACCATCCAAGCTGTGTACAGTAAGGATGGGACGTTGTTGACCTCAACTGATGGAGTGTTAGGGCGTTGGAAGGAACACTTTGAGGAACTCCTGAACCCGACAACTCCGCCCTCTATGTTAGAGGCAGAGCTGGAGTATGACGGTGGATCAACAGCAATCTCCCGGGGGGAGGTCACTGAGGTCGTCAAACAACTCCACAGTGGCAAAGCCCCGGGGGTGGATGAGATCCGCCCAGAAATGCTGAAGGCTCTGGGTGTTAAGGGACTGTCATGGTTGACACGTCTCATCAACATTGCGTGGAAGTCGGAAACAGTACCGAAGGAGTGGCAGACCGGGGTGGTGGTTCCCCTTTTTAAAAAGGGGGATCAGAGGGTGTGTGCCACTTACAGAGGCATCGCACTACTCAGCCTCCCCGGGAAAGTTTACTCTAAGGTACTCGAAAGGCCGATTGTCGAACCTCAGATTGAGGAGGAACAATGCAGATTCCGTCCTGGTTGTGGAACGACGGATCAGCTTTTTACTCTCGCAAGGATCCCGGAGGGGGCTTGGGAGTACGCTTATCCCGTCTACATGTGTTTTGTAGACTTGGAGAAGGCGTATGACCGAGTTCCCAGGAAATTACTGTGGGAGGTGCTGCGGGAGTATGGGGTGAGGGGGTCTCTACTCAGGGCCATCCAATCTCTGTACTCCCAAAGTGAGAGCTGTGTCCGGGTCCTCGGCAGTAAGTCGGACCCATTTCTGGTGAGGGTTGGCCTCCGCCAGGGCTGCGCTTTGTCACCAATCCTGTTTGTAATAGGGGTGTTGAAAATAATCGTTTCTACGATGCATTGCGATGCAGACGTGGACGATTCGGTCTCGATGCAGTGACGGAAGATAACCGATTATTCACGTGGTAGATTTTCTGGCAGCAGCTGAACAATAAAGTTTTTTTTTTTTAAATTAAAACGTCTTGGTAGCAACGTGGCATTGCATTGTGGGTTACCGAGCTAGTGCAATAATGGAGGGAGGCAAAAGCAGTGCGCAAATAATAAAAAAACGCTCCTAGTGTTCTGAAAGCAGACATCTGGACCCATTATGGGTTTTATCAACTAAAAGGGAAAAATGAACTGGACAAGTCGCACGCTGTGTGTAAAGTGTGTCACACAAAAATAAAATACCTTGGTGGAAATACCACTAACTTGAGGAACCACCTTAGCCGTTTTCACTGTGAGAAGCTAACGTTTGCCACCAAGAAAACAGCGGACCCAGCCCAGCGAAGAATTGATGAGGTGCTGTCAATTTTCCGCCCAACTCTGAGAAAGCGAAGACAATCACCCAGTCGGTGGCAGCTTTCATAGCGAAGGACCTACGTCCTTATTCGGTCGTGGAAAACGCCGGTTTTCGCCACCTGTTAAAAACGCTGGAGCCACGGTATAAGCTCCCATCACGTAGCCACTTTACAGAAAATGTCATACCTGCACTCTACAACGGAACCAAAGCCCAGGTAATGGCATCAATGATCCAAGCTAAAAGAGTTGCCATAACATGTGATGCCTGGACTTCTGTCGCAACGGAGTCTTATTTAACAGTAACGGCACATTACATCAGCGAGGACTGGCAGTTTTTGTCGCATGTGCTGCAAACTAGAGCTGTTTACGAGTCTCACACAGGTGCGCATGTTGCGGAGCTACTGTCTCGTGTAGTGGAAGAATGGCAGCTATCAGACAAAGATGTAATGCTGGTGACAGACAACGCGTCTAATATGATCGTTGCAGCTGAATTAGGAAAATTCCCTCATGTGAAATGCTTCGCCCATACACTGAATCTTGCGTCCCAGCGGGCGCTTAAAGTGGCCACCCTCTCCAGGCTTCTGGGTCGAGTCCGACGGATTGCAACATTCTTCCACCGCAGCACTACAGCAAACCACTATCTGAAAGAGAAACAGAAATGTCTGGGCCTGAAAAATCATAAGCTGATAACTGATGTTGCCACAAGGTGGAACAGTGCATACGACATGGTCGAGAGGTTCTTGGAACAACAACCTGCAATATGTGCCACCTTGCTGTCTCCAGAGGTGAGAAAAGGACAGTCAGACCTCTGCACTCTTAACGAAACAGATGTGTCAAATGCAGAGGACGCTGTGAGTGCATTAAAGCCAATGAAGGATGCAACCACTCTGATGTCAGAAGAGAGCAATCCAACTGTGTCTCTCATTGCTCCAATAAATGCACAACTCCTCCAGAACATGACAGGCACCATTGGAGACTCACCGATGATCCACGCGATCAAGAATGCCATCACAACAGATCTCCTGAAGAGGTACAACGGTGAGGCAGAAAAGAAGATCCTTCATACAGCCTCTGCCCTGGATCCCCGTTTTAAGGGACTGCCTTTTCTAACAGTGGAGGAGATATTGGAGATCTACAGAGGAGTGACTGAGGAGGCTGCATCCTTGGAGGTATTTTCACCATGTTTCATGTAAACTTATAAAATAAAAACAAACTTTACAATATTAATAATAGTAGCTACAATGCGTGAAAACGTTCTATAGTTAAAGTTAAGTTAAAGTTAAGTTAAAGCCTTTTATTGTCATTATACACAGAGTATAACGAGATTCAGAGTGCAACTCTGTCCCGGTGTGCAAAAAATACAGACAAATACATAACACTAAAAAACACGGCAATAGGACAGACAACATACAATCATATGGGGAATAAATAGTTAAAAATATTGATATAAAAAATAGTATATAAAGTGCATTTAAAAGTGTGTGTATGTGTGAGAATAGTTACAGTTATTGCATTATGTGTGGTGGTTGAGCAGTCTATAAGACTGAAGAATAGAATAGATGTGAGCTGTTGCATTGACTGAGAAAGTGCTAACTGCTATTTTAATGCTATTTTCTATTATTTTGTTCAAACATAGAATGAGAGGACACTCAGGAGGACAGAAGTGATTGACGGCCCTTCTGCTCCCAAAAGAAAGGCCTCATCATCATCACTTCTCGTGAGTTTGCTGGGACGGTCTTTCACTGACACTGAAGGTACAGCAGAACCCAAGACCCCCTATGCCATTGCTGAGGAGGAAATAGAGAGATACTGTAAAGCATCATCTCTCCCTCTGACTGAGGACCCTTTGAACTGGTGGCGTGTCCATGAGATCACATTTCCCCTCCTCTCACGGGTGTCAAAGCGATACTTGTGTATCCCAGGCACAAGTGTGTCTGCAGAGCGAGTTTTCTCCACTGCAGGAGATGTGGTCACTGCAAAAAGTAGCACTCTCAAACCAGAACATGTGGATCAACTAGTGTTCTTGCAGAAGAACCTACACATTCCCAAATGCTGAGCAGTGAGTCATGTTTTTGTTGTTTGGCACATTCAGGAAGTGCCCTGTGCCCAGTGCTGCTATTTGAAAACATTGTTGTAGATTACAGCACTGCAGAATGTTTTGTTTTTGAGGATTTACCTTTTTTTACACTATAGGTAGGCCAGGCCAATACTATTTATTTTATTTCAATTTAATAAACATGTTGATATGACACACATGGTAGTTCAATGCTACCTGTTGTCACACTCATAATGATGTTTGGCACTTTTAGGATGTGCCATGTTATAGAGCAGAAGACAAAGAAGTGGTTTGATCGATTTGTAATGTACTTTCTATAGAATAAAAAAAGTTCATATTTATCTGACTGATTGTATTCATTGATGAAAAAGTATCCATACAGTAATATTGAAAATTGAGGATGCAACTCATTGTTATGCATCGTGATGCACCGGGATATCGAACCGAATCGAAGACAGGATAATCGAATCGAATCGTGAGACCAGTGAAGATGCACAGCCCTAGTTTGTAATATACACGGATCGGATTTCGAGGCGTAGTCATGGGGGAGGGGGTCTGCAGTTCGGTGGACTAAGGATTGCACCACTGCTTTTTGCAGATGATGTGGTTCTAATGGCTTCATCGGTCTGCGACCTTCAGCACTTACTGGATCGGTTCGCAACCGACTGTGAAGCGACTGGGATGAGGATCAGCACCTCCAAATCTGAGGCCATGGTTCTCAGCAGGAAACCGATGGACTGTCCACTCCAAGTAGGGAATGAGTCCTTACCCCAAGTGAAGGAGTTCAAGTATCTCGGGGTCTTGTTCTCGAGTGAGGGAACAATGGAGCGTGAGATGGGCCGGAGAATCGGAGCAGCGGGAGCGGTACTGCAGTCGCTTTACCGCACCGTTGTGATGAAAAGGGAGCTGAGCCAGAAGGCAAAGCTCTCTGTCTACCGGGCCATTTTCGTTCCTACCCTCACCTATGGTCATGAAGGATGGGTCATGACCGAAAGAACGAGATCGCGGATACAAGCGGCCGAAATGGGTTTTCTCCGCAGGGTGGCTGGTGTCTCCCTTAGGGATAAGGTGAGAAGTTTGGTCATCCGGGAGGGACTCGGAGTTGAGCCGCTCCTCCTTCGCGTCGAAAGGAGCCAGTTGAGGTGGTTCGGGCACCTAGTTAGGATGCCATCTGGGCGCCTCCCTAGGGAGGTGTTCCAGGCACGTCCAGCTGGGAAGAGACCAAGGGGTAGACCTAGGACCAGGTGGAGGGATTATATCTCTTCGCTGGCCTGGGAGCACCTTGGGATCCCCCAGTCAGAGCTGGTTGATGTCGCCAGGGAAAAGAAAGTTTGGGGCTCTCAGCTGGAACTGCTACCCCCGCGACCCGACCACGGATAAGCGGGAGAAGATGGATGGATGGATGGATGGATGGATGTTTATTTTATTATCTTTTCTTTTTAATGACTGATTTTAAATGCCATTTTCTTAATGTCTTTCGTTTTTTGTAAAGCACTTTGAATTGCCTTGTGTTGACAGGTGCTATATAAATAAACTTGCCTTGCCTTGCCTTAAAGCCGCGGTGCTTAAGGGGGATGGCTTTTTGGGCTGTTCCCGGGCCTTCACATAGCAGTCACTAGGTAGTATATTCTCCTTAAAGCCGCGGTGCTTAAGGGGGATGGCTTTTCGGGCTGTTCCCGGGCCTTCACATAGCAGTTTCATTAGGTAGCATATATAGGTAGTATATTCCCCTCAAAGCCGCTGTGCTGGGGGGGATGGCTTTCGGGGCGTTCCCGGGCCTTCACATAGCAGTCACTAGGTAGTATATTCCCCTTAAAGCCGCGGTGCTTAAGGGGGATGGCTTTTCGGGCTGTTCCCGGGCCTTCACATAGCAGTTTCACTAGGTAGTGTGTGTATATAGGTAGTATATTCCTCTCAAAGCCGCTGTGCTCGGGGAAGAATCGGCTCTGGGCTATTCCTCAGGCCTACACATAGCAGTCTCACTAAGTAGTATATTCCCCTTAAAGCTGCTGTGCTTAGGGGGAATGGCCACATGGCAGCTCGCCAGGCCCTCTACTTATCAGATTTACATCACCAGAGTCAGGCTCGGGCTACGCAGTTTTGGGGGATAGTATCTAATCTCCGCACAGTTTTGGGGGTTAGTTATTTGATCATCACTCATCGTGCTATGTATATCTATGGAGTGATGATGCCCGAGCCTAGTCGCCAAACTTAACTATATGCTGCTTCTAATAAACATGTTAAAGAAAGACGTGAGTTGTCTGACTGAACTAACGTAACGTGGGAGAAAATAAGTTTCTGGCTAAACGTAATTGAGAATGCAGTTTAGTTCTGTGGGAACGTAATTTTTAGGAGACAGGGTTGTCATAGTAGGGCTACAGGGCACAGCGCTAATGTCAAAGACACAAACATTATATTTTTATTTTACCAGGTTGCAGTGATAAAAATATTTGGGAAGGCTTAGCCTTTAAAATATACAGTTGTTATACTTTTGTTTTTCTCCAAAACAAATTGGTGCAACATTCCTGCACAACACATAATTACAGTTGTGTACACAGAAATTAAGCCTTTGTCAAATACAGTAAAGTTAAAGGAAAACTTTGATGAAAAATAAATTAAAAAAATATTTTAAGAAAAAACAGAGAGATACAGTTTTTCTCGATTGCTAACACACTAAAATTCTACATAAAGCACAATTATTTGAACTGACACTCAAAGAGCAAAATATCGGCTCAAATTTCCAAAACTCTAAACATGTTTTCAGCTTTTCACACAATTTGCAAATCAACATGGCACTTTGTGCAAACCATAATTGAATTGTTGGCATGTTGCATACTATAACCGTACAAAAATCCTGCACAATGTACTGTGGTAAACTTACTTTTATGCAACACAGACACTGATCTTATCGTTGTTGTTTATCTGAAGGACTGAGAAACAAAGAGGTGGAAGGCTAAGGGTTTTCAATGAGGCACAGGAAGCAGCAGTTACAAACTGGGTTTTGGTAAACAATGCATCACACTTAGAGAGATCCGAAGCATAGTAACTATGTGCTGAGATGCATGTTGCACAATGTTATCTTTGAACAAAAAATTCATTTACTGTATTTCTGTAAACTCAAGCAATCTTTCTCTGCAGAAACCTCTATGTACAGAGCATAGCCCATAACAGATGAAGTGCTTTAGAGTATGCTCAGCAGTGTGTAGCTGGGTGGTCAAACCATCTAGTATTATGAATGAAGTGTGTTATATTTGGTGTAAAAGTTTGCATTTGTTAAGTGTTTATGTAGTTTTGAGGGCAGTTCTTCATTTAGCAGGAGAAATGAGGTGTTTTGCACTTTGGGTGTGTGGTTTTGTGAATTGTGTTTAGTGTTCTGAGAAACTGAGCAATTAAAAGCAATCGAAAAAAACTGTAAATACTTTCGCAGAATTGTACCACCTCAATGGGCCTGGCTACAACTCCTCATCAACCTGCAGAAGAAGCATCCCCTGTAGCCTGGCGGTCAAACAGCTACAACCGTTATGCTGCAAATAACTCTTCAACTTCCTCCCTCTTCCTCTTCCGCTTCCTCTTCCTCTTGCTGCTGTCCATATATCCGTTGTTGTTTTTATAAATGTCTTACATGAAGCCTTTTTCTATTGCTTACATCCTGATAAATGAGTCAACAATAAAGCAGTTTGGTGTTTATGGTCATTTGGCATGTGTATTTGTTGATTGGTTCATGTGTGTAGCATTTTTAATGGCAGTTTTTTGAAAATGGCAAACAAGTGAATATGTCAGATTTCTGTGTCTTATTTAGAGAACCGTGTGCAGTGTTTTGCAAAAAGTGCCGAGTTGAATTGCAAATTGGGTGCAGAGCTGAAAATGTGTTGAGAGTTTTGGAGATTTGAGCTCAGGTTTTGCTCTTTGAGTATGAGTTTAAATAATGATGCTTTATGTGAGATTTGTGTTAGCAACTGAAAAAAACTGTAAATTGTTATTACCAAGGAGTAGGATCTCTGTGTTATGTTACAGTATGGGCCAACAGGTGAAAAATGTCAAAACTAAGTAACAACTATGATTTGGGGACTCATTAACACGCAGTCATGGCTTACTACTGGTCTTAACTATTGTGAAAGAGAATGACACCTATAATGATTGTGAAGATGGAGCCTGTGAGACTGACCGTTGAGACCAAGCAAGGAGGCAGAGGCAGAGATTCAAATATATCTCGGTGTGGGCATTTATTCATCGCTGTGGTACATGACACAGCCTCAATATTGCTGCCCATGTGAACACAGTCACCAGCCACAAGGATCTCACACACACACTACCTGTCCACTGACAGGGAAAACAGAGCCTAAATACACACACACACACACTAATCAGGCCAATAAGACAAAGGTGGGGGGGGAGGAGACAACACAGGGCACCAAGTGAACACAATCACCAGCCACAGACAAAACGGGAGGGGGAACACTTTCAAACTAAACCACATGTGCAATATTACAAGGCCCGAAGCCGTCAGTCCACAGTGACGAAGTTACCTACGTCACAGAGCCATTGAACCCATACTTCAGCCTAATTTAGTTTAAGAGTTCACGCCAATTTACACAAGTGGGCGCCAATAATTAAAAATAAATCCAACTGTGGGGCAACTTCATTCTTTTCTATTAGTGTGCCACAATAATATACTAAACATGTTTATTATGTAGGGTTTGTATCCTTTATTTACGTTTCAGTTGGGAAGAAATTGTTTGTTACACACCTCATAGGACTTATTAGGATTCTGATTTGCTGGTGCGGCTGCAGCTGGAAGTTAAACTACTATCCGCAAGTCTCAAGGAAACATCCCTCAGGATTATGTGAGCACTGTGATGTAAAGTTATCAGTGCAGAATGTCATGTTGCCTTGCCAAAATGACTTTAAAGAACTAAAAACATTTGAGAGGAATCAGGAAACTTTGAAAGGAAGAACTGAGTCTTAAGATTGTGTTGATCATTAGGGAGACATTTTCATTA